GTCTATAGCAATATAGATTAGTAGTTGTCGAACCTATTGTTGTCTATTCTATTAAGCACACCACTCCACTGTCTCGCCAGACAACCTCACGGAACACTAACGTAAAGCTCACCGGCCTTAGTGTGGGACCCGGCAAGAGAAGTATAGATCCAGACCCCGTGTAACAACAGACTGGATCTGTCAATACATCACCTTTTAACGCCAGCTAGCTGGGAACTTAATGAGCTGGTAAGTTTTGAAAGCGTCAGGAACACATCATAGGCAGCTGCTAATACAATTTTATCCAAGAAAATAATACCAACGGTTGCCCATATCCAGAAGTGACTTCTGCAAATCTAAAATCCGCTCCAGCACAAGATGTCGATCACTCCAAAGGTCAATAAGCAACCATGTGAGCAGTTTGTAGCCATAAACTATAACATCAGCCAGATAGCGAAGAGCCTCGAGAACTATCTGCAGGATAGGGCGACTAGGGTCATTGAAGAAGGGCTTTGGCTACTCAATCATGACTATCGTGACGCCGTGATTGACCTATGTGGTGACCAAATCGGGGCCAAACGGCTCACATAACTTTTAGTTCACAGAGATTGCTATGATAGTATATTTATTCGGCTGCAAAGAAACTGTGGTCAAGCGCCGTTGGTCGAAATTGGCGACAGGATCGCAACTTGTAAGGTTGAAACAGAGCGCAACTCATCAACTCTGATATCAGTCCAAAGCATTTAAACCCGTAGAAGCGAAACAGGCAACAATATGAATCATGGGAGGTTCATAATGAATATCATATAGGTGCTGGGGTTGATGGATCGGTCTCAGAGCTTGGATTTGGGTGGTAGATACGTCGACCAGGGGGGAGGGGGGGCGATAATGACGGCTGACATTAACATCCGCACTAAACTGATATGGGCAAATTGGAATGCTTCTTCAACTCTTCCTATAGGGATTAGGAATTATTTTCAGAAGAGTTTTGGCGCTGTAGGTGCCTCTTGCCAAGCAAAGGCAGGTCAAACACACGGTGGAATTTTGAATATACAGCCCAGTGTGATGAGGTTAAGCGCTAGGCGAACAGATCGCTGCGCCTGACTGTAGTAGTGGATATTCAGTTCCAGTACCGAGTAGGGTTTTCATGGCTCCGTGCTCTGCCATTGGTTATGGAGTGGCTATATCCTCACTTAGCACGAGAACATCTCCTCTAACTCTACGAGATTCTCCAAAACAACGGAAAAGAGAATATTCGCCTTGATTACATCGACCGAAGACACGAAGACGAATTCGTGGGTAGTAATCCTACAATTATTTTTCTATCCGATGCTACATATTCTCAATGTTATGCTAAATGGCTCAAGGCCACGGAAAAGAGGCTAGGAACCCTCAAAAAGGTAGACTTATGTTTTTAGAACTTCTTGTCGAGGTCACCGTCCAAGTCATGTCCTAAGCATGAGTTGATGCTTCGTCTTGTAATTGCATCCTGTCAGTCCTGCTTATCTAAATGGAACTTGAAAAGAGGACTACGATATACTTCTAGTTTTAATATTCAGTATTGACTGATGAATTGATCCGTTGAACAGCCTTACAAAGCCAATAATTAGGAGGGTGGTTGGTCTTTACATCGCACTCTAGGATTGTGGGATTCGTTGCAAGGAGTGACATTGTGATGGGTTTGGCAGACACTAACAAGACTAGGGGAGTTCTTTCAGTACAGAGGCTGCAGAGGATTGAGCTGAGCGGCATCGTACAGGAGTCCAAATTACCGAGTCGTTTTGTCTACCTCGTTACTACAAATCCTTGTTGCACGATTGGGAGATACAGAGATTTCCGCACATTGTG